GGGCCTTTTATAGCAGACTATATGCTATGGCTTTTGCTCATTGTTAAAGGCCGCACAGTGACATATAATTGCTTATATCGATTTATTTAACTCTGATGGATAGTTTTCTCATTGGCAATCATACCACATCTCCTTATTTTATACAGATTTACTATTCTCTATATAGCTGGGATTGAACTTTTGTATTCTGCTATGGCATGTATTAAAATGCACAATACGCTAGTTACTAATGTGTCTGGCAATCCCTTTCCTATGAGCCACTTTAGAGTTTTTCTATCTTAAAGTATACATTACAAGTTTGATATTAAATATTTACATTTACCCATATCAATTTTCTCATTCAATCGTATTAAAATATTTAAGAATATCGATATATAGTTTGTCTAATTTTTACAACTAAGAAAATTAAAATCGACAACTTCAAGGCTTGTTTCATAGTGTTGGATATGTGTTGCTACAGACAGTCGGCATTTCAATTGGAAACAATTCATTGTGTACCTCTTTTTTCAAACTTTTTGTTTATGAGTATGATAAAACCTCGTCGTGCATGAAACAAGCATTAACTTCGCGTTCCGCTATAAAGATTATTTCCTGTCATTGCCTATTTCAATTTCTGGTGACAATGTTTTGCCCACGAGAGTATCATAGTAGTTAGTTATTCAGTGCTGGCATTAAATATCATTGGTGTGTCCATGTTTTGTAAATTTTTAGTGATTATAAAACTTTAACATTCAAAACAAAAAGGTTTTTCTACCCAAAACATAAATGGCCATAGTCAGGTTTGGTATTTTTTGGAATTTTTTGTTTTCAGTGCTTTTCATCTTCGTCATTTGTTTAGCCTCCAACCATTTTGATTTTAGCGCAACTGCTGAATCTAATGTTAAGAAACGCGCGCCTGGTATATTAGTTTATAAGCCTTGTATCTTTGATGATTTTTTGTTATTTTTATTTAATTCTATTTTGATAGCAATTATCCCATTGAACTTGAATTATCACAAAAACAGTAAGGTGTGATTCATATCCTGAATTACATCTATATATTGCCAGACAGAGTCGGTTAACAAATTAACATTACTACAAAAGAAACGAACAATTCAAAGACAAATTTCAGCAGCGCATGCATATGGAGTACTTATCTCCCATTTAACACGGCATTCTATGGATTTCCTTTCCTATAATGGTTCTTTAATAAAGAATTGTTGATTACCGAAAGGGCTCTTAATTATAGCAGAGTTGAGGTCATCTCTTCCAAAGTTTCAAGAACGCCATTATGATTGACTGACTGTTATTAGATATCTGTATAACAGATGACCACTGATATGTTTCATTGGCTAGTGGTATAGGGGAGGGTTGAGATCTCACAAAACATGTTTAACACCGCCGCATTTGTGCGCCTGTCCCAAGTCAGGAGCCTGTTGCCTTTGTAAGTCTTGTATGTTTTTTAAATTTTGGTTCATTTATATGTTTCGGAGTTTAGTGTGACGTCCATTTTCACTGAACTAGTACACAATTTTGTTTAGGGACCAGTTGAAGCCCGCCTCCGGGTGCGGGATTTTTGTCACTGTGTTGAAGACCCATTGGTGGCCTTGTGTTGTTTTCTGCTCTTTGGTCGGGTTGTTGTCTCTTTGAAACATTCCCCGTTTCCATTCTCAGTGCCATTTATTGTAACCATAAGCCCGTTCTATTTTATTTGTGTTTGACATCATTGAATGCGACTGGTAACAAAAAGTTTTCTTGTCATAAGCAAAATGTTGTTTGTCATTTTATGAGCTCATTACCATATCGGATCTTTTGTGTGCTTTTTGCTATTGCTTTGGTATTCTATGTTGTACCCCTACTGCCAGACTTGCTTTTTTACTCATATGAAGCAGAATTCATACAAAACCTTCTACACGGAAAAAGATAAAGAAACATCTTGCAAAATTCCTTAATTTTCACTTTCCGATATATTGATGATGTCCAGTCACTCAACAACCATTATTTCAGTGAGTGCTGGCATCTCATATATCCCAGTGAACTTAAGATTATGGATACTACCGAATGTCTGCTTCGTATCTTGATCTTTTCCTCGATATTGACACAGGTGAACGACTTCAACCTAGTACATATGACAAACGTGATATTTTTAACTTTCCAATAACAACTTCCCATTTCTCAGCAGTATCTTACCCACAGCTCCATACTCCGTCGTTTGGCGTTTACATATCACAATTGATACGTTACGCTCGTGCATGTTCATACTATACGGTCTTCCTGAACAGTGGCATGCTCCTTACTCAAAAACGACTCCAACAGAGTAATGACGAAGAACGACTCAACTCGACACTTCCTAAGTTTTACGGTTACCATCACGAATTGGTTGAATCATACAACATGTCCTTGTCTCATTTCACAAGCGACGTGTTTTCAAAGTCTTAGCGCTTTAAATACCAGAATAAGTGTCTAATTGTGTTCTATTCCCTATTGCGACATTTTAACTGAAGGACGTAGTACGATATTCTATAGTTGCTTACATCTACGTCATTTGACTTTGTTGGATAATCGTCTCACAGTCAATTATACTACAACTAACTTCTTATTTTTATATTAACTAAATATTTATGAATTACATGTAAAAAAAAAAGAGGCTGGAGATACCAAGGGGACATTCAAAACTCAGAAGTCGTATAAAAGCTGACAAAAAAATAAAAAACGACGAAAAGACGTACAAGTCAACTAAACACTACATAACACACTGAAGATTGAGCAACACGATCCCAATCAAAACCTGGGATGAACGCAGGTGCTCTGGAAAGGTAGATAGTTCCTGCTATACATTGTTGCTCATGCAAGTCCGGTGATAAATCTCATTCGGTGATGTCTCAATCGAAGAAAAGAGAACGGGCTTGTGGATATGACAATGTGAAAACATAAGCATGGTCATCTTTGACACAGATATTCTTTAACGGTCAACCAACTTGTGATAGCGTCTGTAAAACTTTCGAAGGGATGATTCAACTTCTTCACAGAGAACTAGAGATGAAAAATCTGTGAATAATTACTAATTGAGTACTAGTTGGTTTTACCGAGCGATACTCGAGTACTCGCTCGGATAATATCTACATAAATAAAACACAATTATACACATTTTACACTTGATGGGTCACTGTCTATTGGACGTTATACCCTGGATACATTATCATTTTGGACTAGACACCAGTCCAGTGAATTTTATATCAAATTAATTGTCCATTAGCTACATGTATGAATTAAATAAGAAATAATCTAATCAATAATTTAATTAACACATATTGGAAATAAAAGATTACAAAGTCAAACCAGACCAAACAACAGTAACATTATTATCTTAAAAACAACACATTTACAAAGGTACGATGATTAGGAATCATTAACGCGATCTTAAGAAATTGAATTTGATGAAACGAAGAAGACAGTCTTCAAACGGGAAACCAATTAGTCGAGTATCATTTTGGTATTCGATACTTGGTACTGCCGAGCGATCCTCGACATCCCTACTTCGAACCCTTGATGCAATAGCTTCCTTTTAAGCAGCAACCCTCTATTTAAAAATGTTTGTTAGAAAACGCATGCTGCGAAAATACATTTCATATGCTGCCGGAATTTTGCCACATCGAAATGGAAAAGTCACAAGTTGGAAAGCAGAAATCATCCCTTTTGTCATAAAGTTTTGTTCTCAACCGACCCTCATTATCAGACGTTAGTCAAGATATGAGACAGATTTAACTGTATTTGAGATATTCTTTATTTCAATTTCAATGGGATAGATTTGTTCAACATGGTCAAGTGCAAGTGCTTAACTTATATGGTATGGTATGAAGTCTAACTACCGACTATTAAATGATTGATTTTAACTTGGGCAAAATGACCAGAATCGCTAGTGTAGCAGTACCTGCCTTCTCAGAAGAAGTACTTGTGCTCACCTGCAATTTTGACGGGGTTCGTGATTCTTAATCATAAATTTTGTCATTAAGTGTATTTTGGACTTTTGTTTGTCCTACTTCCTTTTTTCTATTGACAATTTTCTCTCTTCTACAAATCGGTTTGCTTAATCATAAGCATCTTTTTATTTTTTTAAACGTATTTTTATTAAAATACTTTTAGTTTTGCATAATAGACACCTACCTGGTACATTGTGAAAGAAAAACAATTTCACCTCGTGCTATATGTAGAATGTATAATAAGCATTCATTGAAAAGAACTGCATATCTACATGCATCTATCAAAAGTGACAATACCTTAATATAATATTTTCATATAATTACATAACTATGCACGACAGGCACGAGACTGTCACGTCTGGAATATAATATAATACATGATATCTTTCTATAGTATTATTTTATAATTAGTCTTAATGTATAGGAATCTTATTTTAGAGAAAAATTAAAAACTCAAAGTCACTTTTTATTAGTTATTGTAGTATTTAATTTTATTACAATAGATAAGCGTGTAATATACTTATTTTCCATTCAATTTTCTTTATCTAATTTGTAAACAGAACATCGTTATTACAAAAGAATTATTGAATAGTATCAGAGTCATAAAAATGCAGTTTTAAAACTATGTAATTCTGGACGAACTGGTGCTTTAAACATTTTTTAAATGATGAGGTTGCATATGCTTCCTATTAAAGATAAACAAGAAAAAGTGTCCATAGGATATCATGCTCCGCTCTCACTATTACGTTCCTATGTTGAGTTAACCGCGAAATCTTATTCTAAGCATAAGTGTGACATGTATTCTAAATATTCTCATCACAATGGACATGTGGTCATAGTTTAAAGTTGGTGTGTTCATGGTAAACTATCTGGTGAAACCAAAACTTTTACATCAAACTGGACGGATGGACGGACTAACTGAAGACATTTAATGGTTTGTTTGGTTTTGTTTTTTTTGTTGTCTTTTTTATCTAAACAAATTAAAAACATAATTTTGTTTTTTGCTCTTTTCAGTTGGGAAGGACAAACATCCTCTAAAGGTATCCAATACACCAATAGATTTTGGACTGACCATTAACATTGGATACCCAGATTATGTAAAAATAGGAGATACCTATCATCCAATCAAGCTATCGTTTACAGGACTGAAACAAAAGACAAAGTGATATCAATCAAAACTTCCTATAACAGTAATGATGGGAATAAAATGTGAAGACACGATTGTCCTGGCTTTGGTTTATGTATCAAATAAAAATTAAAACATTTCCATTTTTCATTTGCATACGAATTGATATAGTATTTACATATATACATTATAAGCATGTACTAATTTTATTTTTATTTTCAATAGGGTCTACGATACTATTTTCGATTTTATTTGCTTTTGTGTTTAACACGTTTGATTCGCATGTAGTAATTTCTTGTTCTAAGTTAGTTTTCATTATAGGTACATCAATTTTTAACATAACTGACGTTTTTGAAGATTTAGTCACAATGTCTTCTTTTTTGACTTTTATATTTAAATCTCTGGAAGATATATGATTTAAAGTCATTTTTGATTTGTCATCACTAGTGCAACTATCTGTTCTAACATGATTTGAAACGGTTTGATTTGTTATATTTTGACTGTCAGGAAGAACTTCTAAATTACAGAAGTGTCTTTCGTTGGAATTGTTTGTTTCTGCGAGTTTATCATTATTTACTACCTTTGTGCAATGCAAAGATACACATTTACCATGCTCATCCTGGTTGTCTAATTTATCGCCGATTACTGAAATGTCAATACAATCTAAAGAAGCTGCTTCAGTATTGATACTTTTTTTGGCTGAAGGATCACACGATATATCTTTTCTTTCTGAATGATCCCTATTGTTATTGTTATGTGAATGAAATGGTGATTTATTTTTACTAATATACCGCCTGTTTTTCCGTGCGTCTCGTTTTGACATCTGTTTACATTGTACACCTAGTGTCAAAATATCCATCAAAACTACACTTCCGAATATGGAAATTAAAATAATTGCTGCTACTATTCCAACACCTTTTGCAGAAGGGCGGTCGTCTTCTGCACTTGTTTTACTCTTTTTTAATTGTTTCTTTTTTATTTTGTCAGTCATTGTTTTCATGTCTTTCTTAATTTCTTGAAACAGTCTTTCACTTTCCGCTGTTGGGTTTATCGTAGTCAGTATGTCCTCGGACGTGCTGCTTTCACTTAGACTTGTTGAACCAACAAATGTAGTCGTAATGGATTCTAACAATATTAAAAAAGCACATCTTTTCATTATATGGAAATTATTTGAACCATAAATATAAAAACAATGTAGTCTTGAATGATTGCCAATCTTAAGATCGAAGGATAAGGCTGTAAACAATTAAGTGTTACCGTATAACAATGAACAATCAGCAAAACTTATACCGTATAGTAAGCTGTTTTCTCTTTCGTCATAATGAAATTTCTATTTATATACGGTAGCTAGTTATTCATGCATAGCAAGATATGCCTATGATGTCAACGTTGTCCATGATTATTTCGAGGCCAGTATTTCTTTATTAATAATTTATCAAACGGATGTATAATACCTTAATATTCATACCTTCATAACCTGTCTATTTAGGATGATGTGTGCTACACTTATTGTTGAAGAGAAAGTTTACAAAGAATCTAAACAAGGAAATAAAGTGGATAATAACCTTTATATTTCCGTTTATTCGTTTAGTTTGACATTTATGATATATATGCATCGACATTATAAGAGAGACTGTATCTTCCTTAATTTCCATATTTGAGTGATAGCATTGTGTTATACTTTGTCTTATCAGCGATAATTAGAGAGGACATTAATGGCATGTTAATTTTATTCTTGACATGACTGACATGTTAATTATCTCTTCCGATTCTGTAAATATACTTACCGGTGGTAGACATAAAAGTAGTTGTTTCTTTTGCCGTATCGTATCCTGAAATAAATAATTAATCACATTTATTTGGTACCTCACAACGAACATTCTATCTTCTCAATTTTGGCAACCTATATGACAAACTCGTTTGCTTGTGACGAGGAAAACCATTTAAGCCCTTTGGTATTGCAATAAAATATCCATGCAACCAAGCATCACAAATTGCCTTTATCATTATTATTATTTGTCAAGATTTGATTAAACTTATGAAAACCAAAATATCATACACAGCATTAGTTATAGAGAACATAAATTTATTTATACATAGGAAATTTTGATACAATTTCAATAAGTGGAAATGTTTACTCTTGGTAAGTATTTTAACGTTAACTGAAATCAATTGAAATTGTTTCACTAATAAGAAACTAGTATGTATACGTTGTATTATCTTACCAAAACTACAACGTCTATGAAAATAATTCCAATTTACAGAATTGGTATGGTAATACTGTCGAACCGTCCATCTATTTTCGTGACTTATTTGGCATGCCCTACTATTGGTATTGTACTCAAATGAGATACAAAATTTGGCAGAAATGCACTTCTTTTGGCAATAACTTGCGGATACATTGTCATATATTTCTTCATTATATGCCATGATACTTGCATTAGCAGTTCTGATAAATTCACATGATTCTACAAATGGAAAAAAATGAAATACAAATTGTTTTTCAATTCAATTATTAACAAAGAGTGCATCTTTAAATATTAACAGAATACTTACAAATTGAATCGCTAAGGCAAACGTCTGGTAGTTTCATCAATATCAAATATGACGAACCTCGATTTAACCTGAGAAGTTCTTAATTCAACAACTGACAATTTTCAATAGCTCATGATGAAAGTGAAGACAAATTGATCACGTAAAAGATAAATGGTAATCATATTTATGTGTGACGCTGTTAATTGTTTCTGACAAACACTAAGAAAACAGCCGTACAAGCTTACCTTTAGGATACTGACAAAGAAATCTTTTCTTTTCTTCGCAAACTTCATTATACCACCAACCACTTGACAATGACACAGCACCGCATGCTTTTATAAAGTCAAATTCATTAGGCTTATACTTGAAATTTGCCCATTCCAAATCAGTATTATTATACCAACGCCATCCAATGTTTTCTGTCCGCTTTAAGCCAATCCAAAACAATTCATCTCTACAATTACAAAAATGTAAAATAAGTTATTTGCCCTATCTAGTTATTGCCATGTGTGTGACCTCGGAACGACTTGCCAAAAAATTCTTCATATACTAGCATGTTAGTCTAATCATATCATATTAAAGTCTTACTATTCGCACAATACTGGATATAAGTTATGAATTCACAAATTTGATTTTCTCCCTTTGATCAGTCTTCAGCTATTTTAGCGTCTTCTGAGCTAAACGGATGACGGAAGATACAAAAGTGCATCAAAAAACATAAAACGAAGAAAAACAGAGAATACCCTGGTAAAAAAGAAGCCGTGAAATTATTCAAGAGAAAACCAATTGCAATAAACGAAAAACAAATATCACAGACAACAACCAATGACATCCGCGCCGTAACCTGTGGTAGAAGTGTAACGACACAACATAACGCAAGAAAAGTTGTAAAAATCAGTTGGAACGGGCTTTACGCATTGGATAGGTAGTGAGCTAAAAACAAAGGACAAAAAGACGAAAGATAAAAAAGACGATCTAAGAATACTTGCCTCTATTGAAATCCAGATCGAAACCTAATAAACTTAAATTAAAAAGATGGTATAGGCAGTCCAAGAAAAGCATGACCTAGAGTAAAATGAAGTCAAAATATAAGTATCGACAGAATGTAGTACCGTAGTTGTTGATACATGAATAGCTATACATGTTTAGATATGTATTAAACTTTTTGAAATTGAAAGCAATGTTAGTACCGAAATAGACAATATCCAAAGCTCTTACTACAATATTGTAAATTCAGAAATTATTGCGAGGTTTTTATTAATGCGAATAATGCGACTGAGTGACTATCGCAATAACAAGAACTCGCATTCAGATATCTGTCACATATATCTGTATGCAGATTTCCTGATGTGGCAATAATTAATCTCGCCCATTCTTGAAAAATCACAATAATAAATGCACGCAATAATTTCTGAATTTACATACTACATTGACGACTTTTCATATGAGTTTAGATAAACAAACAATAATTTTATATGGATCGTGTCTTAGTTTACGAACTCTGTAAACACCATCACTGTAAAATTGGGGTGTGATATCATATTTGTTTTAAGATTACAGGTACAGGTAAACTTCAAAGTCAAGTTCTTGCATCTAAGAAAGATTTAAGTAATGTTTTTAAGTTATGTATCTTTTTATCGAACAAATCTAACAAAAAAAAAACAAAAAAATTCATGTTAAAAAAAAAAATATCCACAAAACACTTCATTATATATACCGCAGTTTTAAGTTTTAGTATGTAACAGTGTTTGTATGTAAATGAAAATGAGAGAAAGGGAAAATTGAGCAAAGCGAGAACTTGTAAACAGCAAATTTGATTAACAAGCAAATTGCTGCTTAAAGGTTCTCGCCACTTCTTATTGTTTTCCAAAGGGCAAGGTGCAATCAAATTGAAATATTTACAACCCTAATGGTAGCGCACATAGGAGATTTTATCTCAAAAATTAATACGCTACAACTATCAAAATAAAAGGGCATACACTTTAACATTGGGAAATTATATTTATATGATGAAAATAAGATAGGTTATTGTGAAGCTACCCATGACACAAAATCACTATAAGCACATAACAAAAACAATAACGGCAAGGGAAAGCTTTTAGTGTTTTTCATCCCAAAGTCACAGTAATGTATCAACATAGAACAATACCCTCACCTCGAAGCTAGTTCAAGACGACTCAAAATACCGGTGTGAGCAAAGTTCTTTGGTCAATGTCGATAATGCTAAGTCTGCGCCTTTGTTTGTAATAGAATCACAGTTTCGGAGAATCGTATTTGTATGTTTTCAAATAAAGCATAACTTTATTCGTACCAATTATTGGCTGAAAAAATATATAATTTAACTGTAGATATAAATGTTGCTGTAAAGTCTTTTCGTTAACAATTAATATGTTAATATTAGTATACGATTTAAAGTGATGAACTACTATAGACAAACGTATCAATAGTAGTTTTATAATATAAGACATACATGCTTATAGTTTGTTGCAAATTTTGTTATATTTGTATTGTACTGTTGATGTTATCACTATACTACATGGCATTCAAATGTGTTTTCACTCTATACTAAATGTCCTTGGCACTAATTATTTGAAAAGAAAGTGTGAATTCACGCAAAGAGATAGTGTCTCGTATTAAAATCTCATGTAACTTTTTCAAGTATCTTTGGGTAATTTAGCTATTTTGTTTTCATTTTCATTTTAAATTGACTATCATTTTCGGTTTGATTAGCATGATATACTTAAGCTGATTGCATGCATCAGCATGTGTATTAGCAATCAAAATGTCGTTAACCATCCTTACGTTCAATTAAACATGAAGTATGTATGAAAATAAACAAATTAAACCGAAGTGTTTTCATCTTCTCAACTTTGTTTTCATTAAATTAAACATCGCACTTCATGACAAATGGATAAGTACAAACTGCACTTTTATGAATGGTCCACATCTTTCGCTCATTGATTTCTGAGAAGTAGGGCATGTAATACTTTTCTGGTTAAAAGGGAATCAGTGGAGTTAATTAGTAGTGTTTGGCCTTAGTTATTGTTAGATTGATGTAAGATTAAAGTACTCAATTCATTATTATGCATGTTTGGATTACGCCTATAATTAAAACTTGTTTTATACCTGTTGTTCAGTAAAATGATGACATTTAAATAACTAGTAGAAAATTAATGAGAAAATTAAACCACAGATGATTATTTACCATTTCCCGATTGATGAATGGACTTTTACAGAGCCAACCAGCTTAGTAGGAAAACCGAAGAATGGTTTAGGGTTAGTATTTTCTGGCCCAATAATTTTTTTATCTAAAACATGATAAAGATATGTGATTCTTATCTTTGTGTTTCTCTAAAAAATAAACATAGTTCATCATTTTGTAATTTATTTCGTTAAAGAAATACGCGTAATCTAATCATGGCATTTGTTTGTTTACACATTTATTGCATGAAATAATTAAAAATGCCTTTTATAGTTAATATTTTCATAATTGAATTAGGTTGATAAGTTACCCTTAATATATGCAGCAGGATATCTTTTCAATGACTAAAAAAGCTAAAACTATATGATTCCGTCGTCTTCAAATGAACCAGCTACATGAATGACGCAACAAGGTATAAACTTTTTTGTACCTCAATCTTTCTCTTTAGTCAATGCTCTATTTTAAGATATGTTAATACATGAGGAAAAGGACATTTTTAAATAAGAGACCAAGATTTATCTACAAGGTGTAACAGACTATACTATTTATATATATAAAAATAAGATGTGGTATGATTGCCAACGAGACAATTATCTACAAATGAAGTAGATGTAAGCAATTAAATCAACCGTACGGCCTTCAACAATAACATGTACACTGTATAACAAAATGTTTTCCATTTTACCCTAATTTAGGTTCGTTTCTACAAAGAGTCAACAGTTCAACCAAATATATAAAGAACTATGTGGGATATGTAGGTTTTTTTTTTTTTGGTCTTTAGACAATTCATCTGCTGTGGTTGAAAAATACAATGCAACATGGTACCAAACTAATTTCATATTGTAAAGGTTAAATGTGTTCGTGTGGTTTGTCACTACATGTATGCTTTTATGCTTTGTTTTGTAAGTAACTCAAGGAAACTTGCAGAATGCAAGGTTGATACAGCTGAATGTTTGTCAAAAACTGATGATTAATGACATAGTTGTTAGTTTGGTCATAAAATATACATAATATAAAAATGTGGGGAAGTGGTTTAATTCCCAATGGGACAACTACCCACCAGAGTTAAAATACCGTATAGTCGGCTGTAAAAGATCCCGACATTAAAAGAGAGGAGAAAGATACCAAAGGGACATTCAAACTCATAAGTCGAAAATAAACTGACAACGCCATGGCCAAAAAAGAAAAAGACAAACAGACAAACAACAGTACACAAAACACAACATAGAAAACTAAAGACTGAGCAACACAAACCCCACCAAAAACTGGGATGATCTCAGGTGCTCCGGAAGGGTAAGCAGATCATAAATATGGGAAACAATTCAAACGAGAAAACTAACGGCCTAATTTATAATAAATAATGCACATATCTCTTGACGGTAATAAGTTACTCCAACAAAGTAACATGCCATTTACTTGTGTTTGTATATTTATCAAGTACAACAAATACAACTATCCTTATTCAACCAGAGAGCATGAATCTCACAAGAAAGTGACATTTTGCTCTCCGGTAATCGAACCGGTAACTCTGAGTTTGAAGTCAGCGCTCTAACCGACTAAGCTAAATTGGCACATCTTCTATCCACTATACTCAAGGAAAGTAGTTTCGTCACACTCTTAAACGAAACTTAGCCAGTGTTTATAGAAAGAGTTGATATAATGATTCGTGTGGTAAAATATGATATAGCGGAGTCGTTCAGTTAGAAACATACAAAGGGAAAATGTTAATATGGAGCAGGATCTGCTTACCCTTCTGGAGCACATGCATATATAAATATAATAACAGTAATTTATTTTTTAAGTCAAATATGCTCCTCTTCTCAAACACATGTTCCTTTTCGTAAAAGACGATTTCATACACAAACTTCTCCAAAAGAATGTACTTTAACTTCGCGTTACGCTGTAAAGATAATTCGTACTCTGACATTCACCGATAAATTTACAGGATCGGCTGAAACTAAACTGTAGGATAACAGAAAAAATATAAATATCTATGAAAATAAAATGCTGCAGGATAAGTATATAAATGTTATTTGTCAACAAATGTTGGGTATTACTGACTGTTAAAAATTCGCAATCAATATCAATAAATCTCATTATGTTTGTGTTTCATTGGATAGTCATAATTACTATTTCACAATAAGGAAATACGGTATACTTTACTCGAACATAATTTAGAAGTACATACATGTTTACCATGCTTTGATATCCTGTTTCTGGTATATTCGATGGACCATCTAATTTAGCCAGATGACCTCCTTTATCTTCACAATACTTCTCAGCCTGAGACCATGACAAACTTATGTTTTGTAATACATATCGTCTTGGTTCTAATAAGGACAAGTCGGCTTCTGCAAAGTACAAATTTCAAAACTAGTACATGTATTTAACACACAATCAGATGTTATGTGATCATATAATGTATGCGGGAAATTATTCATGTTATGCATTGCTATTCAACTATTGGCCATATAAATGAATGAGCGCTGTCGAGCCAATTAAAGATTAGAATTGTTCTCTCTATATTCGGTTCTTTACTTTAAAGATACTAGATAGTAAACATTACTGAGAAATGGAGTACCGATAAGGACAATGAACACTTTTTATATCTAAAATTCTTTTTAAAGTTGTAATGTTTGGACTGATAAACTTCCTGTAAATCGTATGGTGTATTTTGAACTTGGGCGTTTACCATTGTATGTAAATAGATATGTAAGAATGGTTCGTTATTGGTTGAAGTTATTAGAATCTAATAATTGTATATTGAAGAGTATTTATGAAGATATGTACCAATCTAGTTTTGTTAAACAGAATGATAAACTCAACTGGAGTTGTAAGATAAGAGACATACTAAACAGATATGGATTTAATGATATATGGTTAGCACAAAGTGTTGGAAATAGTCAATTATTTTTGTATGAATTTAAAAAAAGAATTGTTGATAATTATATAGCTGAAGGCTTGTCATTTTTTGAAAATACTTCAAAATGTAATTTGTATCAATATATACATGATGGACATACTTTGCAATTTTATTTGAATCGACCATTGAACAGTTTATTCCAGTCATATGTAACTAAATATAGAATCAATTCACATTCACTTAATGTAGAAGCTGGAAGATACTTTAATATTTCCAGTAATGAGCGTGTTTGTACTATGTGTGATAAGAAAGTAATCGAAGACGAATATCATTTTATATTAGAATTTGATGAATATATAAATGTCAGAAGTAAATATATTAAGATATATTATTATAGATACCCATCTACTTTAACTACTAGTTCAGTTATTATCTGTAAGAAATATTAAGGAGTTAAATAATCTGGGTAAATACCTTTATGAGGCAGAGAAAATTCATAACACTGGATTTTTGTTATGTACCTTTATTACCAATGTAAATAGTATGCCTAACTCCGCTATATGTTAGAAACGGTTTATGACATTAATGTTGTATATGTATATGTAAACTGTATAATTTGTGTATCTGTTTAATCCTATGAGCTGTATTTGCTTACGGAATAAAGTATTATTAATAGCTTTATGTGTAGCGAACGAATAATTAAATTGTAGATACCAATCATGTCATTTACCATACATAAAGTTAGATTATTATTATTACTATTATCTATGATAACTTAGTATAAACGTTTCGTTATCTTCTCGCCTTTGTGTTTTATAAGATACGTACTTTCAATTAGCGACTTAGAGCAAGCAAAATGTCAAGTTACGTGCAAGAAGACAGTTTTTCGTATTGTAGGTGAAAATAAACTCATTATAGATACCAGGATTAAAACTGATATTATAACTTACCATAGCCACCTGTTGGTGTATTCGTAGGTGTGCTCATTGTAGAACTGCGATATGCCATATAAGTTGTTTGCTCTGAATCCTCGGATAATATAGTCGCTGTAACATTTAAAAAAATCTATATTCAATATATATGAGATCAAGGGAGACAATTCTGCTGATGTTCTGCAGCAAACCTTATTATTGTTCGGATAATAAAATTATTTAATTACAGATGACATCTGTTCCGTCGTATGGTGTTCACATATTTCAGGTAATACGTTACGCTCGTTCATGTTCACACTACTAGTATACAGACTTTATTTACAGTGGTGTGTTCCTTACAAAATAAACAACTGCTAAAACAGTGTTATTAGGAAAGATGACTGAAATCGACACTGCATAAGTTTTACGGTCACCATCACGAATTGGTTGACCGATACGATGTGTCGATGTCTCAAATCACTAGCGACATATATGATCGGAATTAGATCTTTAAATACCAATATAGTCGTCTGATCTGTACCGATTGTGTCCCATTCCCGATGTTACATTTTGACTGAGTGTGAATTCTGTTTTTGTTGATTACCTTGAGTTGTCTCTTCCTAATCGATTTACGAGCTTTTAACCACTGTCCACTTAAGGATGTACTTAGGTGAAATTAAAAAAAATCTAGAATTTAAAATTGATACTTTAATTCAGAACAGCATTAGTTCAAGAACAAAATAAGCTAAAACTATTGATAGGTTATGGAGCTCCTTTTCGAGTTATTAATTTTTTTTAAAAAGGGCGGGAAAAGGCTGAATCGGACTTTTACCTTATATTTACATTGGTATTATTTGGGTCTCGAATCAAAAGAAAAGAAATCTAGAATCTGCTTAAATTTTGGTAAATGACCTTTTATGAGCTATTGAAGTCTTATATGAAAAGAAAAAAAAATGGGTGTTATGGGGCAAAATATTTTATCCTGTATCGTAGGAAAAAAACCAAGGTGTCCGAACATCTAACAAAAATTCCTAAACCTGACCTAAGTACATCCTTAATTCATAAATTTGTCAAGTTATGTGATTGGGTAAATACACAGAGATGTTAGTACATATTGCGGAAATAACGAGGGTTTATAAGACTTGTTCCCTCAATTAGAACCTCAATGACGTCAATCAAAACGAAGGTTACTATATGACGTAATCTTAATATAAATAAAAATAAAAGAATGTCAGATGACACAAATGGTAAAAAATTGTGAGTACGTTTTTAAGCTAAAAGCACACTATTTACACACCAAATACAAAATTAATGATTGATAATATCATAGTAAAGTATTGCATAAACGAAAAATATATTTTCACTGCAAATTACAAAATATTTCACGTATGTAGAAAATATCAGGCTGAGTTTAAGGTGGTCAAAAATACATACCAAATTCATTCACATATAAGCAGTGCATATACAAGTACAGATACAATATTTTATTGCCAAACTATTCCTAATTTAAAAAAGAAATTGTTTAATCATCAAGATGAAAAATGCATTTAAGCGAAGAACCTTAAGTATACGGAAACATGTAGTGAATATCTGTACTGCATGCCGAATTTTCAACAAATACCTGCTACTTAAAAAACATTAAGACAGAGGTAATCTGTAATATGATTTGACACACCCGGATGTGGGTTTATATATTCCCTTAATATATTCCTTTAAGTGAATATAAAACCTAAGCCGGGAATTTCACATCATATACCCTGAATGTCGTATGATATTTTACTTTAGTGAAATATCCAGGTGAATCCTGCAATTTGATTCGTTACCTTGACAGGGAATATCAACCAATACCCCCGTGAACAAAAACGAATATCAGAATGGTCATTAATGTTAAAATCAGGACACTCCATTTTAAGATAATTGTTATCCGGCTTCCCAGGGGATATCTCGAATAACATATAATATTTCTTGTTTGAAACTGTTACACTCATATCTGTAAGGCTTTTAATTCAAACTTTGTTATTTATTACGTTTTCTTCCTAAAGAATTATATGGAAAATTCTACTAAATATGCATGGTGCTATGATATTGTGTTTTATGAATCCGGAGCAGTAAACTTACAGGTATAACACGTCTTATGATAATAGTCCCAGCTTCTGTCAAAATATACAAAGCTCTCCGATGCTGTCCATCGATTTACATCGTTGAGTTGACAAAATTTGTTTATTGTACTATATTCAAATGACCAGCACTCAAATTCTGTCACATGACCGCATACGTCTTTACATCTCTCTAGACTCGTTCTGGTTAAGCTGAATTTGTTATGTCCAACAATACTTGCTTGGTTATAGATTCTGAAGTAACAGCTACCTGTATGATTGTGTTTTCAAGACATCATTTCATTAAATATGAATTAAAGGTAGAATTTATACTTAAAGTTAAGGGAAAATGTTAAACAAGGTTGATCTTTTAATATGAACAGTCTACAATGAAAACTCTGAATCAACTAAAACCAATTCTAAAATAAGAGAAAATTGAAAATAACAAACAAGTCATTCTATACAACGGTAGTTTACAATGTGATTGGTGGCCTTGTGCTGTTTTCTGCTCTTTGTTTGGGTCGTTGTCTCTTTGACACATTTCCCGTTTCTATTCTCTATTCTATAGAGTAAAATATGTAAAACATTTCCGTGCTCAGTATAAGTTTTCTTTATCTCAAAGCTGCGTATGCTTTTATGAGATACGCTACCAATTCAAAATGAAGGAGTTCTTTTCATATAACATTTTTTGTTCGGTCTATTTGTTTTGCTGATTTATTTCGATGTTTTTGTTTGTTTGTTTGTTGTATGCTATATGGCAGATTCGTGCATTTCAAACTAAAAAATGCGTCTCTTAAACAAATCAATCACTATAAGATGAAATAATCCAAGGTTAACTTCGACAGTTTTATTTCGTGATAATCGCGACAAATACTGAATATTCTCCTATCAGTATTAAAAATGATTTACACAAATATAATAAACTTTTCATTTCCATTTGAGTCAACACTGCTATTTCCGCTAGGCCACACTTTTTAAAAAATTTTCTTTTATCTTAAAATATGTTCATTTCTAAGATCTTGTATTTAAATAAATATGATGCATTTCAACTACTAATAGCAAACTGCAAATCATGACACGGAAATCAATTACTAAACTCATGATATAGATTGTAACCTTATGAATACTTAATATGATTCGTTTCACATCAAAGATAAAGTGAAGCGAAATTAAATATCTAATTTTAATCTCATTGTAAAAAGGATTGTGTCTAAAAATAAAGACAAAATGTCAGACATTTTGATAGGTGTTGTCTGGTTTGTATGATCAGTTGTCTACACGAAGTAGTGTTCGGTTTTTGAAAAAATACTTCGTTAGACATTAGATATAGTCCAGAATAAAGTATTTACAGTAAAACCTGTAGAAACCGGCCAGTTATGGGACTCACGAAAGGGGCGGTATGAACATCAGTAAACTTAATGGGGATTACAGTCAGGTTTCTACTTCGTCAAAATTATCTCCCCATTACGCCACCTAATTTTTATAATCGTGAAAAGGGAAGCTATTGTAGTGATGAAGCGCTGTCAATTTAGCTCTTAAAAACTGATATATTTATCCACATATCATCATTACGATCCTTATATGCCAGTTGTATTTTAAAAGACAAATGTATTTACTAGCTATTTCGCATCATTTAATGTACTTTTATGTATTTGGTTAGCTTAAAACTATTGTCTGATCGGTTGCCAGGGGGAATTTTCGAAAGTTCAAAAATATTTAAAAAAAATTCTAATCAAATATTTCGTGGAAGGGCAGACTAAGTATTTTCAGAGGTTGAAGACTAATTACCCTAGATAGCACACACAAAAAATGAAGATTTTTTCGAAGTTATGCATTTTTAAGATCCTCTTGAAAAGTCTGTCGTCAAGTAATTTTAGTAAAAAATTGTTATTCGAACACACCTACTCTCTTGTTATGATAAGATAAGATAAGATATTTTATTTTCCAAATAAGGTCCCCAGGGGGCATACACATATAACAGATATAATGACTCATTAGAAAGGTATTTCACTTAACCCATATATTTCATTTTTATAGTACTGCACGTTTTTAATACTATATATCAACCTAGAGCCTAAATGTATAAAAATAATAGAATCTAAAGCGAGATGATGTATCAAATATTTTTCTTTTATTCGTTTTCAAGACAGAATAGTCAACTCGAACACGCCTAAACATAAAAAGGTGTACTCGACTTTCTCTTTTCGATGAAATTATTGCCCATTTTAGGGATTTTCCCCAAAAAAAACTGTCGCCGGAGCAGAGATGCAAATTAATGCTTTAAAATTATCAGTTTATTATTTTTCTTTGGAATTATTTTCGGCGGAATTTAAGCTTATGCACTTAAGAGATCCACATGTATTTGCACCTACCACAATCAACTGTTTTGTGAAAATTTGTCTATAATTTAAAAGTTTACAAATGTCTCAAAGCTCCATACCATAATTTTTACCGTAAAAACACATACATAAGATGCATACAATCCTAAAATAAGCACTTTCATTACACTTTTAAAACCCATAGAAACAGATGTAAACAATTCAAATTTACCAACTTGGCGTTTTAACCTTCTCTAACACAAAGAATTCCATTTCTTTTGTTTAATTTCAACTGTGTTTCTGCCTGGGATTAGCATGTCGGGTGATGCATGCAGTTCTTTTTACCTTGATTTATATCATCTTAATTGATTTATGAGATGTAAACATAGGTAAAAAAAACACTCATTAAAGATACCAAGCTTATAATTGTGTGCGCCAGTCGCGTTTCGTCGTCTACAAAAAACTCATCAGTGACGTTGAATAAAAAAAGGTAAAAAAAAAGGCCAAATAAAGTACGAATTTGAGGTAAAATACTGTTGCCTCTAATTTAATAGGAATAATTTAAATAAATAGACATGTCAATATGTAATATGTGTAAAATAGCATCACATTTGTTCTTTTGTATCTCAATCTTTGGTCTTGTTTTGAATGGCTAAGTGTAAGTATCAGACCATATAACCGGACTGAGTGTTGTTTCGACGCCCCCTTTTCATGATGTACAACTGAGAATGAATAAGCATTTTATTCAGATGATTATGCATTAAAATAACTCTTCGAAAATAGTTAAGTTAGTCAAAAAAACATTTGTTGCATAATCATTTAGAGTTGAATTGGGGTTCAACAGCCAAAAGGACCGATTTAAAAACAAAATTCTCATTTGTCTCTTTGACACTCCAAGGATGATGAAATACTGCCATCTACATAGGCGGATCCAGGGGGCACTGGGGGGACCGGCCCCCCCCCCCTTTTCTTGGGAAAAATTTGGTTGATTATATAGGGAATCACTGAAGCATGACTGTAGCGGGGCCCCCCCCCCCCCCCCTTAGGTCAGTCAGCGGGCCCCCCTTATGAAAAGTTCTGGATCCGCCACTGATCTAAATTCGTGTTAAATCTAGTGCTTTATAACTATCTATTTTAAATCAAATATCTAGATGAGAAATATACTAACATATCTACCAATTTAAAACGTTAAACGATATGGTAACTAGATGGTCCAATTAAATGGTTGATTACTAGTAGTAGTATGAAATGTTCAATATACTAGACGAAATATAAATCGAGAAAAGCTAGAAACACACAAATAAACGTTACACAGTGAAAAAGGAGCGCGTCTTTTTAAGATCGTTATTCTATGAATACACGATGATCGCATGTTATCTTTAAAGAGACACGTTACGATAAGCTCATGCACGATAAATAGATGAACAATAAATTCAACAAGTATGCAAAACACACAATACACAATGAGTGCGCGTTAAAATGGTCAGTCTGAAATTAAGAAGGTATATATATATACACAGAGAGAGAGAGAGAGAGAGAGAGAGAGAGAGAGAGAGAGAGAGAGAGAGAGAGAGAGAGCAAAATTACCTGTTTTATATTGACAAAAGAACGGTAACTTATTGTCACAAGGCCTCGGTTCCAGAATTGCGTCCATTGTTAGTCTTGCAGACATACACCTATTAAATGGTGGCGCTCTTTTCCATGGTGATGACGTTAGTTCTGTACCATCATCCCACACCCATGTGTTATTTACGTGGGACAAACCAATCCACACGGATATATTTCTACAAGATAAATTCTATATAGTTAAGTCAACTATATGCTTTAAAGCATCCTTACACATGTTATACTCCCGCCTTCTTTTCCCCTATTGTGAAATCACTGAATGAGACTTTTTTAATAATTTGTACTTGCCATGAACAATATGACGGGTACCAGTTATGGATCAGGATATGCTAACCCTTTATGAAGTATATGAGATGCCCCCTATATGGTTGGTTTCGTTTTTATTGAAGAACTGTTCTTTTTATATCGGATGTGACCTTGAGAGGTCATACCGGTTTTATGTTGCCGCAGAAATTTGTGCACACGTCCATTGCGCTTTTGACTGATAACCGAACGTATTTCGTATAAATACGCGGATATTATCGTGTGCAAAATAACATTCCTTATCGCTTGTTATAAATTCATTTCTTCAATGAATACTCATGAAAATATTTTTAAGAAAATAAATAAATAATATGAAAATGTCTGGTCGTGAGAAATGTATATAAGTAAAAAAAATCATTAATATCTATGCACACCAAAAATTGTGTTTGCGGATAAATATCTCGAAAACGCATCCCAACAACAGCGAGGATGTACATATCTATCTGGCAGGTACCATATTACCGCCTGTCATTTATTCATTACCCAACATAACTTGCGGTCATCCTATGTTCAGTACTTTAGTAATTTGATTTCTTTTTGAAATACATATTTACAGCAGGCGGGTAACAGTTTTATTGCATCTTGTAGTTTTACTACACAATTGTCTTAATTGTTTTTGTTTTTTGTTTAAAGCTTTTTGGCATAAGTATAACATGTTACAATACAGTTTATGTACATAGGACAACAAAGTAGAACGTTTATGCAAGTTTTAACCAAGGATGAAGTCCAGTTTTATTTCAAATCAATAAAATAAGTAGCAAAAATAGTCAATGAATATTATTTTCTCACGATCGAAGATATCAACTGATTTTCTACCAACCCGAATCTATTTATTACACGCTAATGATATGGTACGAGGATAATAATAATGACATAATTGGCATAATTGTGTTTTTTTCTGTAAATAATTTAATATGTCTCATTGGTTTAATTATATCTGTTAATTGTCATTCCCAATCATATTAGCAGTAATTTTATTTTTTAAAAACATTAAATGATTTTGAGAATATTTCAATATTTAACAGATAATAAATACCTTGTTTCTACCCACACATTTGCATATACGTTTGTAAGAACTGAAATTATCTCTGGGTGAATACAACTTTTACCGAGATATATTATGTAATAATAAAATGGAGCTCGATTAGACGGAGCATCGTTTTGAATAAAATTTAATTTAAGGTCATAAACATATAAAGAGCTTTCATATAATGAAAATGTCATTTGCGTTTTAGTGAGAATAAATTCTTAAAAAAATTATTAATAATAATGGAGGAATTTGCTTTTTTCTTTATCACCTTTTTATATTCTCAATGAAGTCAATGATATAATGTAAGGTAAAAGTCAGGCGTTGCAGGACTGGCCTTTTTTTAACAGGTTTTCACTCCGTCTGTTAAACTAGGAGACGTCTTAACAAAAATATGTGACAGATTAAGGACAGCAATTATCTGTATAGTTAGGTTTTTTAAAAATGTTCATACGAGATGGGCATCTACCTCTCTATTTAGATAACTTTCTTCTTATCAGAAAGCTGGCATATTGCTTTGGCAATGAAAATACCTTTTTGAAGGAATTCCGTAATTGTTATGCCCCACCAACGATAGTAGTAGGTAGATAGTTTTCTGGTCTGTGCGTCCGTCCGTTCGTCCGTCCGTCTGTCTGTCCCGCTTCAGGTTAAAGTTTTTGGTCAAGGTAGTTTTTGATGAAGTTGACGTCCAATCAACTTGAAACTTAGTACACATATTCCCTATGATATTATCTTTCTAATTTTAATGCCAAATTAGAGTTTTGATCCCAATTTCACAGTCCACTGAACATAGAAAATGATAGCGCGAGTGGGGCTATGGACACATTCTTGCTTTCAGTCTTAATTTTAAATGAAAATAGTTAATAAGCATTTTCAGATTTCAGCATATTCAAAGACATTTGTGGATTACTTTCAAATAAAAAAAATACCTTAAAGAAGGAATATCAGCAAGGATTTCAGGAATAATATAATTTTTGATAATAGGAAGCGTTCCACCATGACTTCTACAAATATCGCTGGCTGTCTGATAATTTCGTTGTTCCTGGTGATAAACCAATGTATATCCAACATCAGCAGCAAAATGAGAACCAATATCTACGAAAAGAAATTAAAAGATAGTTAGTAACATAGTACTAAGAGGACAAATATAACACTTATAGTGCATTGATCAAAATGCAATTGATCTGTTTTTGAGTGAACAAATATACTGTAACTATGATTTTGCGCTTTTAATGTACATGAAATCATACGGTTCAAATATCAGCTTACTTGATTATATATGCCATGTATACTCTTCATTCAATGGCCTAGTATTATCCAATGAATTTTCGACATTTTTACATTTCTTGCATCATATGCACGTTCCTACTCTTCTGAACTTTACACTACATTTGTAAAATATTGTTTTTAATTAACCTAATGACAAAACACGAACAAACTTGTTTTTTTTATGATTGTAGCAAATGAAAATCCGATATTTTATAATTATATTTTTAACATTTTGATACATGTACTATATGTTTTATTACCTTTTACAATAGTTACTATGCTCAAAAGTTGTATAATGGACCAATAACACATATTCTGAAATGATAAAAAAAAGAAAGAAATATTATCATTGGTTACAAAAAGCATTTGTACACTATATGATTATAAAAACTTTCTGAAAGTGAATTAGTGTTTTATTGGTGAATTAATGTAGACTGTTTGTAGGAAAGAAAATTTAATAATTGTTTTTTTTTTTTCAATAGTATTGAATTTTGTTTATATAAATTCACTTAAATTGGCACTAACCACACCCGAATTAAAAAAAAAACGATAGATAAAAAGTCCTGAATTTACACCTATCAATATACAAAAGTATATACAAATCATTTATGAACATTCTTTTCACATACAAGGTCTAACTGTTATAAGATTTTGGTTACTTATAGGACAAATCAACATATATGACAAAAGAAAGGATGAGGATAGCTTTGAAAGTAGGTTGTTCGTTGTTGATTTTCTATGTTTGTGCGTCTATTTTGTCGGAGGACTTTGTTGTGGGTGGTTGTAGAGTAAAATATTTTTCATGATCCTTGTTACCCTTTTTGTTTGTAAATATATGATAAGATATTCAGAAAATCTATTTGAGCTCGGCTTCCTGGTAAAGATAATTTTTTATCCTTAAATAGGTATGGTAATAAAACAATAATGTTATATCATGAATCATTCATAGCAGTGGTCACGAGCTAAATATAAATTTACTTAACAAGGTGATTAATAATTTTGAGACATATATTTGTACATCTGTATAAAGTATTTACTGTAGATTGTCAGTTGTCAGTAAAATTGCATTTGCAAATAAAAATGGTAAAATGCTTAATTTTTTTGACTCCGGGCGATTTAGAGCTTGTGGTAATTTATAGAATTGTATAATCGTGGTTTATAGATGAGTGGTTTGATCCCATTTGATAGTGTTGTTTATTTTCTAAACCCGTCTCTGCATATTCCGTAATAGACAGCATGCAGGCATCATAAAACTTCGGTCAAGAGTTCACACAAACATAAACACGTCAGATAAAGTCGCATGTTTCAAGTTTCGAAGTATGTGTCACGTGGGAAACACAGTCTTAGTTAATTGTTCAATGTGTGAACAGCTGTTCAAGCATCTTCTCAAACACAACCGCCATCTATCCCCACCTCATGATTCACCTTCAACGTTTCAACGACAGGGGAATATAAATAGACTGGACTGCCTATTGTTGAAGACTGCATATTGCCCTCTGGATGTTTTCCGATATTTTTGTCGTTTGGTTACTGTCTCGTTAGTGTATCCTCATCTACCTTTATTCCTATTTAATACAAAATACATTTAGTTTTCATAGTTGTTTCTTTTCTTGATTTCGAAAACATTTTAATCCCTCTTCTAATTGCAAAGTAGAACTTTCTCATTCTCAAATCGATCTTTTAAATCTAGTTTAAGCTGGTATTCAGATTCTTCATTCTTTCATGGCCTGTTTCGATTGATTTATGCACTATATTGCAACTTAAACCTAATGCAGCGTAACGGACTATCATTTAATGCATCTAATACCCCACGTCAAGACACACTTCAGTTGAGATTCAAGGAACAAAACAAGAATGCATGAAATAAGTTAAGTCGTATTTGGGTTTGGTAAATCTCCTATACATTCATTTCCTCTGTAAAATTGTCTTGATTATATTCATTTAGTAAAAGTAATTTACCTAAACAAATATTACAGTATTTATACGAGTAATACATTTTATCAGATTTGCTTTTCCATGTTATGGAATTACAATGTAACCTTTGTGAACAAAACTAAAAACGGGAAGTCGACTTAAAAATTTCACTTTTATCTTTGCTATAAATTCAAAATTATTTTTTTCTTAAACACTCTACTATTATATAATCTATGCATTTTCTTGCTTATGCATAAAATGAGATATGAAGGGACCGTCAATCACCCAACAGTAACCAAACGACATAAGAAACAACAGCGATTTGTCAACATACAGTTTTCAACAGAAGAAATGTGTCTATACTATGTTTTGGTCGATTTATGAGATTTGAACATTGGTAAACTACTGTTACCTATATATTGGTCTAAACGCCCCAAACCTATACAAATTATTTATAATTAAATCGAGACTAATCAAAGATTGGCCGTCAACACTTAAAACATTGGTAAGAATGCGACAGCCACTGACTGCTGATGCTGCTTGCTTCACAAAAAACACTTTTTATTCCGTTGGTAAATTCCAAAGATTGTCATTGAATTGGTATGGCGGCGTCAATTACTGCATGTATCTGTGCTATGGTATATCTCTGATTTCTGATTTTTTCCTACGAGAAACTTTATATAAATCCATATTAATGTGTTCCTCCTTATTTTGGAAAACCTTTAAAGCAAATAATTGTTACCATGATATAGTGGTTTATAGAATTTTAATTTATCGACAATATTTATTTCTTTTAATTATTTATTTTTAACACATTACACAAGTATCTTTCTTAGAATAAACGTTAAATGGAATTATTTATTTGTCTCTCAAGTATTGCTTCCTCGGTGCATTTAAAATGCAGGTACTTATGAATCAAACCTTTCGTGTTTCAAAAAAATAAATTGCTGAATCATAATGGGAAAAGAAAATAAATAAAACTAACTAGCACTTCAAACGTCCTTTTGAAACATTGACAGGTTTCCCATAAATGCATTTACCTAAACAAAAGCATGCACGTTATTGAGAGACATACAAGTGTAATGTTTTGCTTTATTGGTTAATGTGAAGTTATTTTAGGGGATGTGACTGAGATGATAACATTATCGGTACCAATTTTTATGCACCAGATACGCATTTCGACAATTAATGTCTCTTCAGTGATGCTCAAGGCCGCAATATTTGATAATCCAAAACCTCATGAAAACGTTGGAAGAGCTGATCAAAACAAAAAGGATCTAAAGCCAAATATCCGGACAAGGAATCAGAGCTTTGCATGAGATAGATTTATTCATTATCTAAAATGATTTAAAAATTCTATAACTGCAAATTTCAATCTTACAATATCCGAATTATCATGCGAAGTACTGGCTACTGGGATGGTGATACCCTCGAAGACTAACAGTCCACCAGCAGATGCCTCTTTCTGGTATTTGCAATGTCACAACTTAAAGAGTCGTTAAATGCTATCATCTAACATTAACACAAACAACAAGATTTTTTAAGTACTTTCTACGATGTAAATTGACACTTATTAGCATATATAAATGATGATGTATGTCGAGTTTGGTCTTTAAGAAATGTCAAAGACAAAACTGCAAATGACTGCATCCGGTCACTTAAAAAATAGCTACTTCAGATAATTACAAAGTCCCTAACAGCTCAGTGTCTGCGCAGAAAGTTGATGACCAGGGTTATGTCGCAAAAATTCTCGTCCTTTCCCTAAAAAAATTCATTGGAAGATACCAAGAACGAGTTGATAAATATTCCGTATCAACTTCACAAATAATACATGGTGGTCTTGAGGTATAGATTATAGGTACTGACGTGGTTTATCATCTTAACTGCGTGTTATAGTGTTCTTTTGATTTGTCGTTGTATATTTTTAACCTTTACTGTTTAGTCCATTTTTGGTAATATCCTTTTGACGTGGCTCGGTATTTATATATCCCGCCATTGTGTTATTGTACTATGGTCATTTTTTGTATTCTTGGCTTTCATTTTTGTTTATGTGCTTTGTCTGTAGAGTTTATATGTGCCATTTCTTTTCCTTTGTTGTTATAATTGTTTTTATAGTGATTAAGATTCAAACACAATGTTGACTGCTGTACCCCAATTTTTGACATTTTTACCTATTAGGTCTGTTTGTTTTGCTCACACATTGTTGTCAATATGATGGAATTCTATGCAAATGTCATACAATTGAGATGTTTAGCTAGCTATTTAACCAGGTTTAATCCACCATTTTCTACGAAAGGAAATGCCTGTACCAAGTCAGGAATATAACAGTTGTTTTCCATCCGTTTTATGTGTTTGAGCTTTAGAATTTGCTTTTTGATAAGGGACAATCCGTTTTGAATTTTCCTTGGAGTTCGGTATTTTTGTTATTTACTTTTTATTATACTTAATCACTAATGCATATTGATTTCATTATTTTTTTTAATAATTATTTAAAAAATGTAGGGTTATTTTTGGCTACAGAGATTTTTTTTGGCTGATACACTTTTACTTGAGGCAGATGGAGGTCTAAATTAATATCGGTAGAAATAATAAATGTTTTTACACTTTGCCAAAATGTGGTTTATATCATTCAATTTCCAAAATGAAATAAAAAGCATGTATCGCGGATCTTTTTTACAAGCTACAGTTGTCAGGTTTTGTAAAGATGATACATTGTGAAAACAATTCTGTGTGACTAGGTAGAAAACTAAACGATAGCATTTAAAATAAAATATAAGAATATAGTTCTTATAATATGCTTTCAAAACAAAATAAAAAGAAAATTGAAGTGATGGAACTCGTTTTCTTGCTACTAAACAATAAAGGCAATTTTACTGTACATTCCTTTTACAAAAATCAGTTAATATGGATTATGTCCTCTTATATGGTTAAATTATCAAAAAAGTTCAATCAAACAAAAATATTTTATATTTGTAAAATAGTCGAAATAACAAGATAGATCATATAAATTTCTTCATTTAGATGAAAAAGAATTTCATTGATTCCATTCTGAAAATTTGCATATTTCATTGAAGATGAAAACCGATTGTTTTCTAGTTTTTTTACAATCCAAGATTGCGAAAGACACCTAAACTACCTTAACGTTTGGCCATTATAGTGTCAAAGGTTGAATGATTTCATAATTCGATAGAATAAGTTGTTTGCTAAGAGTTTAATGACATTATGAAGATTTATTTTTTCTACCGCCCCTCTCTTACCAATCAACCTATTTTAAAATATTTCCGAAAAATAAAATGTTTAATCTTGAAATCTAAACAAACCGTTATTATCTATATGTTATTGAGCGGCATTTTTTTTTGAAGTTTGTATGCATTTTATATAAATTAAAGAAGATGCTTTTT